TGGCAAGATCGATTGGGCAAAATTCCAAGAGCTCATCAAGGAGCAATATTGTGGGTATAGGAAACATACACTATATATGCTTGTAAGACATACAAAAATCCATTGGTTAGTTGGGGGACGTCTCGGTATTACACATGCACACCTTTCTTCTCACAAGCCTGAGACCAGAGTTGACTCCCATAGTGATCAGGGATGCCAACCGATTGGTTTTGGTAGAGTTTTCACTGTGTGTGCCCACCTGAGATTTGGAGAATGAACCCAGTGGACTCCAGTCAGCCGTTGTCAAAATTGGTTGGGATCCGGCGTCGCCCATTGTTCAAAGACCGAGATAAACGATCAAAGCCCAAGCCAGTAATTAGACCTCAAAATCCATGCAGAGAACCTGTGGCAGTAGTGGCAGCATCGATGCGCCGGGTTTCGTTTAAGGTCTAGGGAGTATGGTCACCAACACGGTCGGCTCGGCATGCGAGGATTGTCCTGTGGACCTCCTGTGCTACGACCCCCCGCAGAAGAAGCCCTCATTTGCGAAGCTGCGACAGGTCAACCTTTTCGCACCCAGGCACAGGGGCATACTGGGGCTGCAGAGCTAGCTTCGGTGCTGAGCAACTCACAATATTTCACAATAATACTGGTATATAATTATATATCTTGCCAAGAGAGTGAGACCAGCATGAAACCTCCATGTGCCACGACAAGTCAGAACGGGTCAGGAGTTGTAGCAACTCCCAGCTGGTTAGAAAATAAGGCAGACGATCTTGGCACATGTCGTGGACTGGAGGTCCCGTGCAGAAGCCGTTTCCGTATCCATGTCTTTTGAGACTTGAAGTCCAATGAATACATCCAGATCGGATGCTCCTGGGACTTGTGGGCTCCTCTAGTTTTTTGGCTTGTTTTCTGTCTCGCCCCAAGAGTGCAATCCAACTAAGTAGCCCCACCTGTTGGAATCGCAATCCTCAAAGAATCGTTCACAAAGTGGCCCCGTGTTGGTTGTGCTATCGTCGAAGACTCCAATCCGGACGACCGAACAACCGTGATAGGACCCCCTGGTTCCGCAACTTCCCCTGCTGCCTCGCGGAAAGTACCCATGCGGCGATCCAGTGCTCAGGAGCAGGGCGAGGGCGAGCGGGGCGAAAAGGAGCAACAGGTATCAAAAAGGAAATAGAAGGAATGTGGTATCAGTGAACCTCGGAATCCAATGTATGGACTGACGTATTCCTTCTGTTCCTGCTTTTGCACATCCGGACCCGTTCCGGCAGGTGCCGATTTCAGGCACGTCTTGATCTCGAATCCGGACACATGGTTTCTTTGCGGATCACTGATCAAGCATTTTGTTTGTGGTTCTGGTTAGAGTGACTCTGTTCGGCAAGTATCTTTTTCCTGTAGCGGCACAACCTGCAGTTATAAGAAATCAAGGTCTCATCAAAGACAAAACAAGGATTTCAAGTTTGAGTCATTACAGGAAAACATAGAAAACAACAAGAAGAACAGGATTCCATTAAAAAAATGACTTTATAAGACAACAACAACAACTTGGATTATTTTCTAGGAAACCTCATCTAATTTACCAAACAATGTAGGCCAGGGTGGACCCTAGGAAATAACAAAAAACACCCAAGGTTTCAGGAACATATACTTGCATACCAGACGACGAAGGTGGGGGGGGCAGGACCGTGCTGATCTTCGATCTTTTGGAGCCATTTTAACCATATGGTCACATTGTCGACAGCATTTGCACATGAATGTGTCGATCTATTTGATCTAACCCCTCCTGGAGGGTGAACAGTTTTCCAATTTGCACTGTCCGAAGGATCTCTAGTCCGCGGCCGCTGCACCTAATTTCTAGCTCCACTGCCAACTCTTTGCACCAAAGGCGGCATTCAAACACCTTAAAACAGCTACTAGGAGCAAGGCACCTGACTACTACGAGCAAGGCACAATGTTTTTCGCGGCTGTTGGTTCCTCTTGGCCCATTGCGGTGGAATTGTTTGTTTTGAAGTCGCTCTCAAAATCGATCCATCCCAATAGAAGAAAGAAGAAAGCATGCTGCAAGAAATCTCCTGTGTACAAAATCCTTCGCGTGGCTTCCTCGATTTTGCGCAGACAAATGTAATATCAGGGTAGGGAACTTCCTCGGAAATGCTCTCGTTGACCTTTTTATTATCATGATTTCAGGTAACCATGACCAACAGGATTTAGTAGTTTTTTTGCACCTTAAACAACGCAACTTTTCGTTTAGGCTTTGTATTTTTCACTGTTCCTGCCTGACCTGTCGTACAGACGGGGATGATTGATTGATCACAAGGGACCAAAACTAGAGTTGCTTGTTGGCTTAGCTGGGCCATTTACATATATATATATATTTATTGTTTTTTCGTTTACATGAATTCAATGAAGTAGCAAGCCATGATCGAAAACACAACATGGCACAAGTATTGACAATTACATCCACATTGATGCACTCTGGCAGACTGGCTTGTCAACGTTGGAGTGGTTCATTCAGGTTCTTAGAGATGATGCAGCCGCCAACCGCCGATATGAACTACTGCCCAGAGTTTCTGCGAGGTGTTTGGTGGATGAAGGACCCTTGGATTCTTCTGGTCCAACACTTAGACGTAACGAGGTGTAACAGTGCGTCCTAAGGAAGCAGAACTGATGAACTTCTCTCAAGCCACCTTCGCCACAAACCAAGAGCGACTTTCATATTATTGTAGAGACAAATGATCACACACAGCGGCATTGATTTAGTGATATACTTGGTTCGGGCAGTTTTTTGATTCTATTGAATGTGATGATGGAGTGACTCGGATGGGTGGAACGTCAGGTACTGTAAAACGCAGGAGGTCTGGTGGAAAACCATATATGCCATATACATATATATATATATAATTATGATCAAGCAGAAGCATCAAACAATGCATTGAAATGTGCAAACATGGGACAAAATGGGATGTTTTTGATGGATGTTCAGTCTTGCACCACTCCAAGACTCCGATTTCGCAGTCATGCATGTCACTTGGCGTGCCTGTGCCCTCTTTCTTGGTTGGAAACTGTAATTGCAGCCGATCTGCTTGTGAAGGCAGTGTTTCTTGAGAGGAAAAGGTTGCAGCAGCAGCAGCACTTCTTGACGAAAAGTCGTTACCTCTTGTGTGGAGGTTTCGAGCGGATCAGAGATACTCTCATTCTTATAGGACCCATATTAAGATACTCTTCTGACCTCTTCTGATATTTGTTTGATATTCTCAGTTTTTTTGGGGTTTGGCAATGTTGCCCCTGCCAAAATCGAGGACAACATTGCCAACGAGACCTGTGTCTCCTTGGAGTCAGGGCACTGGAATGAAGCTGGGACAGAGGGATGCTTGGAGCAAGGAACGTCGGGGGTCAAGCCGGGTAAAGACCAAGAAGGATCCACATGGACGCGTTTTGAGCCACACGTTTTTACCCCGAAAGACACCACCGCTTCACGGGAGCTGACGAAGTACAAGAATACGTTCCAATGTCTTAAGATCCTTAACCATCCGGCGAGACATACAGCTTCAGATTTCTCTGTGGGGCAAGCCTGTTACCAGGCTTCAATAAATAGTCTCTAGTCTTTTCCAGTTGTTTGTGCCAACATGTGCCAAAGCTTAGGCCTCCGCATTTGCGACCATGTTGCTTTGGAATAAGTTTTTGTACCATTTTGTAATTTTGTAGTTACCATAGTCACATCAGATTGGACACCAAGAGCCAACCACCTGGTTCCTCGACCTTCCTTCACTCTCCCTTGGGCGACCAAGAGTGGTCGGCCGTGAAGGATTTCACGACCAGGGCCTCCAAGTGAGTCGCTTTTGATGTGCTGAACTTCTGAACCAAGACAAGAACTGTCCCCACTGTGGGGCACACCTGACGGGTCCGGAGACCGACTCCACACGACGTGCGCAAGGATGGAAATTGTGCTCGGTGAACTGGACCACTGGGAGCAATTGGTTCGGGAGTCTGCTTCTTTCTTGGAACATGTGGAAAGCCAGGCTGGGGAGCATTCGTTGTCCGATGACAACAATGACGATGGTAATTTGATGAAGATACAGCAACTATGCTGCTGCTGATGATACTTGTAACACAGTATATATATAACTAGTTCTTAATTGTGCGGCTGTTCGACTTGCTGGCAACTGTTTGCAAGAAGCTTGGTTTCGTTTCCGTCATTGCTCAATATTAGTACACACTTGATTTGAGCAGCCGGCTAGTGCTGACTATTGACTCCTTATTGTTCCTGCAGCTTCAACTGGCCTCCTCTTCTACACAAGACAGGTATGTCAGCATGTCATCAACTAAAGGATGGACAAGTTGAGTCCCCTGAAAATTGTTGATGTTCTTTAATGCAGTCGATGCGGCTGTATCTAATCAATTCAACTTGGTTTTGTACCTTATTTGATGGCTGTCTCACCGGCTGTTTCAAGGAAGGGCATCCATGCCGATATTCAAATCTCTGTGGACCAGAAGTGGATCGCGCTGACCAAGGACGACTACATCTATGTCCTTGGCCCAGAAGACAAGATGGTGGATGCTGAAGGCTGCGGGTGGATTGAAAGGGTGCTGGATGCTTTAGCTTCAGATAGCATGTTTGAAGGCCCTAGCGGCCTTAGCGGCCCCAGCTTCTAGTGCAGTAAGATGCAGTAATCAGGAGGCACACCAACCAGGGAAGAGGTAAAAGTTTGGAGATGTTTGGAGTATGAGTATGGCAGAAAGATACAGTAAGTGGAAGGAGAGCCTGGCTCTTTGGTGCACGACAAGCGAGAGGGAGAGATCAAGTGAGTGGAAGCAGAGGCTGGCATTTTGGTCCTGGGAGTGACTTTATGGTAATGCTGCACAGCAGATTAGTAATTACCAATTAATATTGGCACAGGGAGAGGCGAGCTTCCGACTGGCTATGTCTCAGCTCTACTTTGGCAGGCAGGACGTATCCCTTCGTTCCTGGCTTGGATATGTTGCGGATCACCTTCCCAGAGGGCGACCCCAAGCAGGGCCTTTTCTATCAGTTCCCGAGCAGCAAAGTCAGTGTTTTTTTAGTACGAGGTTTGGAGTTGGGTGTGTATATAATTGTATATATACATATACTGTGCAAACTGTGAGTCGGTCATTGAACCGAGTCTTTCACATTTCTTTTGCAGTGGTACCAGGGAACCATATCGGCTGTACTTTGTGTGTGTGTGTGTTTTGACACGACATGATTGCAAAATTTACCTGAGGGCTTGTTTTAATTGTAAGGGCTTCGCCCTGGTGCCGCCGACCCCTTTTTTAGGAAGGACCTGCAGTGAAAGCTTAATGTAGAAACGAGGAGCAAGAACGCTAGTAACGTAGAAGCGAGCCGTGACGAGCGAGAATGCCTAACGTTGCCTGGCACGTCGCCTTCGGGAGCCCATAAAGCAGTTGCCTGGCACGTCGCCTTCGGGAGCCCATAAAGCAGTTGCCTGGCACGTCGCTTTCCATGCCTCATGATCAAGTTAGAACGAATGTACATATGAAATATGGGTTGATGCCTGGACATGCTATTAAGGTACATGATGCGCAAAGTGGCGCAAAAAGGTTCGGATGGAGAAGTGGTCAAGACGCCGGCCTACCAAGCTCTCTTGGAACGTGTGCAACGCCCTACAATGGAAGGCTGTTGTTGCAACTTTTTCCTTTGCAACATCTCTGATGATCCTGGGCACTTATAACAACAATCACGAAGAACACAGAAAGCGAACATTTCATGCCAAGCCATTGGAGTTGGAATTGGAGGAATAGGTTCTATATCGTCTCTGCAGTAATTACGATATTTTTCAAACAATGAGAGACTGACAGACCGTATTATTAATTATTAATACAATGATTAAATATGGTGATTTCAGCTCCACTACTTTGGACCCAAAGACACTCTCACAATCTCCCACAGGCAGTTTTGGCTTATTTGCAATTTTTAGCTCACTATTTCTCAATTGGAGTTCCCCAAATCAATGTTCAAAGAAGGAGAACGTTGTCATTGTCGTTCATGGGCCTCATGGAACCGCACAAAGTGTAATTGGAACATGTTTGGATCAAATTTCTGTCAGAGCCTGGTATTACATAAATTTGTTGTGTCCGTAACAGCTTACAGAGTGGGTGTTCCTGCAAGCTGTACACTACAGTAGTTCCCCGTCCATTGTCCCACCCCCACCACATCCAAGAGCCAAACTGACTGGAGAGCTGTGCACTGCTGCGAGGATCAATACCCTTCGATCTACGATTCCTTGGATGACCATCAGTTGATGGTGCCAGGCCCAGAAAAGTTGCCTGAACCACTCATGGAGGTCATTGCCAAAGAGCCGGGCTGGCCGTCCTACAAGTGACCGTCGCTATGACCGTTGGACATTCGGGAAGAAGGTGTGTGAAAAAGCTGTTTCCAGCTTGCGCCTATTCTGTTCAGCAGGGTAAGTTAGCTCCCAGTGATGAGTCTCCTGCCAAAAACACCCAGCAGATGAAGAGCTTGCAGCGACATTGCAGTGAGATCCTCTAAAAGCGGGACTCATGATTTTCACGACTAGCTGCTTTAACTGGATACCAAGCAGAAATTTCAGCGGCTCTTCGGTGCACTCGCCGATGAAACGGATTGGAGTGTCAAAGAGAATCCCAACCACAACTAGCTTCCATGTGGCTTTCCTCTTTTTATTCTGCGACTTTAGCCCATCTCATACCATTTCTTGCAACCTGAATTCATGCTTCGTGGTCGGAATGGGCTCTGTTTGGCAAATTTCGACTCCATGATTTCTTGTGCATCAACATCGGGCACCCAAAGAGACTGAACTGAACCAGCCTACTAGTTGCAGGATCTCCGACTTCGATCTATCTATTTATATATATATAAACTAATATCAACTACAGTGTTTCTTCCATGCTTTCATAGCGTCTACGCTCTTCCATGCTTTCATAGCGTATACGCCCCGCTTCTCCAGATGATCTTCTTGGAGCCAAACAAAGTCGCCAAGTTCAAAGTTCTGATGTTTTCTTGTCTTATTATTTGACCCATCTCTTATATCCTCAGCGAGTAAGTTGTCGCGTTGGTCAATCTTACTTCGTGCTTCACATGGGTAGCAGCCTAAAATCTCATCTTTGGCCTTAGCTGTCCTGGGATCTTCAATTCATTCATTATTTGCCATCCGTTCAGACATTTTTCGCTTCGACAATTCTGCACCTCTTCATCCCTGTGGAATTTGACGCGTTGCACAAGCAACAGGGCTTTGCCAGTAAAATCCCTTTCTATTTGTTTCCTTGAGTGCAGCGTGCTTACTCAACCATGTCCAATAGTGTAGGAAATGCACGTGTTTTCTGTGAGGCTTTGAAAGTATAGCTGACTGGAAAGAAGGTTTTATCACCAAACTGCATCGTTTTCAGTGCAAGTTGCAGCCCTCTAAACCAGAATCTATCCGCAGCCCTCCAAAAAACAGGAGTTATGGCTAGAGCCGTTTGGAAAGGAGTGGAACAGAGTCAGATGCAAAAAACACTGGGTGTCAAGCTTTTGCTTCGATTGTGTACGTTGGTGTGCAGACAACATCGCCCGCCGTACACTAAAGACCAGCGTTGATATCACACGTTGTCACGTTGACGTCCTTGATTAGAAGTGTGTTGTTTTCACATGTTGATATGATCTCCTAAAGGATGGCTGTTGTAATCGGTATAGTATCATAAACGAGCTGTGCCAATTGTAGGTGGATGCTTGAGCCACCATTCTAATCGCCTGGCATGGCTTTAGTCTTGTCCCTTTAAAGCCTCGTGCTGAAAATCGCTAAATGAAATGTGTTGGCTTTCCGATGAGAGATGCCAAATCCCAATGAATGGAAAGGCCAGGCAAAACCATGTGTTGTTTTCCGTGAATCTTCTTTGACCCAGCCTTGGCTTTTGCCATGGCCGCGGCGTGGCAGAATGGCAAGATCGATTGGGCAAAATTCCAAGAGCTCATCAAGGAGCAATTCTGGTGCGTGAGATTTTGAGTCATGGAAACATAGACTATATAAAACATACTACACCCCTTTGGTTAGTTTGGAGGTCTCCCTAGCACACCTTTCTTCTCACAAGCCTGAGACCAGAGTTGACTCCCCTACAATGATCAGAATTTACTACCCAGAGCGTAGCCCATGGTTCAAAGTCCGATCTAAACAGCACGTAGTTATGAGGTATTACTAAGTGCTATTTACTTGCTATTAGTGTTGGTTATAAGGTGTTACTATTGGTATGTCTCAAGTTACTAAGTAATTAGACTTCAAAATCCTGAGAACCTGTGGCAGTGGGTGGGTATCGCTTTGGACCTAGGGAGTGGTCACCATCCAACACGGTGGGCTTGGCACGGGAGGAGTGTCCTGTGGACCTCATGTGCTACGATCCCCCGCAAAAGAAGCCCTCCTGGTCGTGGTCGAGGCTGCGGCATGTCAACCTCCTCGCACCCAGGCACAGGGGCTGCAGGGCTAGCTTCGGTGCCGAAAACATGCGCCGTTGGTGGCGAAATTTTATTTCAAGCAAAGAAGCTATTAGGAACAAGTGCCTCGCTAGTAGTAACAAGTGCCTTACTAGTAGTAACAAAGAAGCTATTAGGAAGTTCACCATATTTCACAATATATCTCACCATGAGAGTGAGACCAGCATGGAACCTCCATGTGACGTGTGCCATGACAAGTCAGAACGGGTCGATCTTGGGACATGTCGCGGACTTCGGATTCCGTGCAGATGCGTTTCCGTATCAAAGTTACCAGGTCCAATACAGCCATATCGGATGCTACTGGGCCCCCTTTTTGTGTGTTTTCTATCTCACCCTGCCAACATTACAATCGGAGTAAGTCTTTGCACCTGTTGGTTGTGCTATCGTCGAAGACTCCAATCCGGACGACCGAACGACCGTGATAGGACCCCCTGGTTCCGCAACTTCCCCTGCTGCCTGGCGGAAAGTACCCATGCGGCGATCCAGTGCTGAGGAGCCGGGGCGAGCGGGGCGAACAGGAGCAGCGCCGGAGGTCGTAGGGTGTGTTTGAAGGGTCCTGCGTTTGTTTGAAGAAAAACGTCCAGGATTGTCCAGGTCCTGCGTTTGTTTGAAGGGTCCTGCATTTGGAAATACAAAAAGACCTCGGACAATCCTGGACATATGGATGCCCCATGACGTTGAACTGTGAAATGGACTTTCGCTCAAGCGCAAGCCTGCCTCCCTATGAATCCAATTGCGTCCAACCGGGTCGTTTGGACCTGGATCATATCGGCAGTGGGATTTCCACTATACTCGGACTGGACGATTGTGTAAAGCATGATAAAACGGATCAAAAAGGAGGAACTATATATATATATATAAGGAATGTGGCAATCCGTGAACCTCTGCGTGGAATCCAAACCGATGTAGCCCTTCTGTTTCTGCTTTTGCACATCCGAAACCGTTCTGGCAGGTGCCGATCTAAAGCACGTCTTGATCTCGAATCCGGACACATGGTTTCTTTGCGGATCACTGATCAAGCATTTGGTTTTCGGTTCTGGTTAGAGTGACCACGAGGGACCACAACAAGAGTTGCTAGTTGTCTTAGCTGCTCCATATATATATATATAAATATTATATATATATATTCTATTTATATCTTTCGCTTACATGGCTTCCTCGTGTCAATTCAATGAAGTAGCAAGCCATGATCGAAAACACAACCTGGCACAAGTATTGAAAATTACATCCACATTGATGCACTCTGGCAGACTTGCTTGTCAACGTTGGAGTGGTTCATTCAGGTTCTTAGAGATGATGCAGCCGCCAGCCGCTGATATGAACTACTGCCCAGAGTTTCTGCGAGGTGTTTGGTGGATGAAGGACCCTTGGATTCTTCTGGTCCAACACTTAGACGTAACGAGGTGTAACAGTGCGTCCTTAGGAAGCAGAACTGATGAACTTCTCTCGAGCCACCTTCGCCACAAACCAAGAGCGACTTTCATATTATTGTAGAGACAAATGATCACACACAGCGACATTGATTTAGTGATATACTTGGTTCGGGCAGTTGAAAAACACGGGGTGTTCTTTTTGATTCTATTGAAATGTGCAAACATGGGATGTTTTTGACGGATGTTCAGTCCTAACCACTCCAAGACTCCAATTTCATCCAGTTTCGCAGTTATGCATGTCACTTGGCGTGCCCTCTTTCTTGGTTGGAAACTGTAATTGTCGTTACCTCTTGTGCGCAGGTTTCGAGCGGATCAGAGATACTCTCGTTCTTATAGGAGCCAGAAGAGTATCTTCTGACCTGTTTTAATATGAATATATATATATATAAATACAGGCATATATACACACTGTATATATGTTCTCTCTTTTTGTTTGATAATATTCTCATTTTTTGGGGGTTGCTTCTGCCCCAGCCAAAATGGAGGACAACATTGCCAACGAGACCTGTGTCTTCTTGGAGTCAGGGCACTGGAATGAAGCCGGAACAGAGGGATGCTTGGAGCAAGGAATGTTATAGGTGGTCTGGTCGAGAGACCAAGAGAGATTCACATGCAGGCGTTTTGAGCCACATCTTTCTTCTTTTTACCCCGCAAGACATCACCGCTTCAGGGCCTTAGGGTACTGACGAAGTACATGAATATTTCAAGTTCTTTTCCAATGTCTTGAGATCCTTAATCATCCGGCGAGACATGCAGCTTGAGGATTTCTCTCTGGGGCAAGCCTGCTCCAGGCTTCAATAAATGTTGTCTAGTGTTTTCCAGTTGTTTGTGCCAAAGTTTAGGCCTCTGCATGTTGTGACCATGTTAATTTGGAATAGGATTTTGTACCCTTTTGTAGTTACCACAATCACATCAAGAGCCCAACCACTTCGTGTGACACACCTGACGGATCCTGACCGACTCCACACTTTCCAAGGATGGAAATGGGGCTTTGTGAACTGGACCACTGGGAGCAATTGGTTGGGGAGCCTGCTCCTTTATTGGAAGACGCTTTGACACACTTCGGGTTTGGATGGGTCTGGATGTTTTTGGACGGAGAAGGAGACATGCAGTGAGTTTCTGCTGGATTTCTGTGGAGAACGACATATCGTGGGCGTACTTGGTGAAGAACATTAGAGATCTGATCAAGCACCGGAATTGTTACAATCAGTCGCGCGTGATTGTGAGAATGTTAAGAGTGAATCCCCATGTTTGAAACTAATGTGCAATCCCGAAGAAACTCGCGTTCGGGGATGGACATGTGGAACGAGCCTCAACCAAATTCCATGAGCTGACTTGCCAGTCCAACCCCAGGACCTTTGGGGAACAGTCATATGCATTCATATGCTATATATTGCTATCTTATATGGATGATTTCATATGATTTCACAATATTTCACATTTGGAGTGCGTTTTAGATTTAAGCCGAGCAAACCTTTGAAGTGCACGGTTCTTTTGGAGCAGAACATTTGGGAGGCCCCATTGCCATGCTTTGTCAAGCCATGCGCTCGTTTTAAAGGCAACCACCAACACCGAACACCGGCCGTTTGGGAACCTGCTGCGTTCCCCGAGGTCCGCCGCCACCCGGCCCCAGCGCAGTTGGCAGATCTCCGCGGATCGGAAGTGGATCGCACTGGGTCAGGAGGACTATGTCTATGTGCTGGGCCCCGAAGATCAGCTGGTGGACTCCAAAGGTGGGTCGTGGAGACAAACGCGGAGACAAACGCACCAGGATGGCCGCAGACCGAAGATACCGAATTCCCAAGAGGGACAGGGACTACGGAGAGCATGGTTTGGTGGGCAACATGTCAATTTTTAGTAGTAACAGTAAAAGAATGTGAACACATTTTTTAGTGAACTGTACATCTAGGTCGACCCGCCCCTGGATGGTGGAAAGCCTTGGTGTTTGGGGGTGAGGTGGCTTTTGCCAAGCAGCCGGTGTTTTAGGTTCCGGATGCGGTCCTTCCTCTATAGTAGCTTGGCCAAGCTCCGCATCGCCCATGGAGGCACAGGCTCCAACCGGTGCCACCATGCCGGCCGTTGGGTCAGTCGATTGCTCACCTCCGCTGGCAGGTGAGGCCTATCCCTTTGTTCCGGGCCAGGATTTGTTGCGGATCACCTTTCCGGAGGGCGACCCGAAGCAGGGCATTTTCTATCAGTCACTGGCTTCAAGGTTTTAGGATGTTTTAGGAGTTTAGTAAGGCATGGGAGCAGAATCGAACTTGACAAAGGAATTGGTTGTTTTGTTCGGAATTGACACAATCCTGCAGCAATACTCAGCTATTGTTTCGCTGTGAATATGTAGGTGCAATATTATGCAATATACTTTTGGCCCGAGGGCAATTTGACTCGTATTTCAATCCCCTATTTTTTGCGAAAACAATTCGATTGAAAGCCCAATCGAAAGAACCTGTTTCATCGTGGCCATGCAGCCAAACTGCTGGGATTGATTTGAATGAGCAGCAATCAAGGTACATGATGCGCAGAGTAGCGCAAAAGGGCGCTAATGGAGAAGTGGTGAAGACAGCTGCTTACCAAGATCTCTTGGAGCGAGTGCAACGCCCTGCGGTGGACGGCTGTTGTTACAACCTTTTCCTTTGCAACATCTCTGATGATCCTTGACACTCAAGAAACCTTGAGCCGCTCATCAAACAGCTGAACTCCTGAACAGACGTTCAATTGGGGATTTTGTCCACTAATAAGGTCCAAAGTGTGGTAATAAATTGGAAATAACTTGTAATAATGTCAAGGGTTCATCAGACGAGAATTGCGACATCGCTCTCAGCTCTGCGCTTGAGAGCTTCCGGTCGATTGCACCTGTCACGCTGATGCCGAAAATGCTGCCCACGACCCAAAACCTTGGTGCTGTCGCAGCACAGCTCACGACTGTGAGGAGCAATACCCCTTGGTCTACGACGCTTTGGACGACCATCAGCTGCTAATTCCTGGCCCAGAAGAACTACCCAAAGAGATCCTGGATCTCATCGCCAACGAACCGGGATGGCCATCTTACAAGTGAGTAGCTATCTCCGGCGATCTTCGATTTGTTCGTTGTAAGTTGTACAAGTTGCCTAGAGATTCCCCGAAAGTTGGGAATCTACTGTAGTTATTAGTTGTTAAGTACAGCCCTGGAACCATGCACAGCCTTTGTTGAAGTCTACGCGGTTGTTCCAATACATCATTGAGCTATTACAATGTGGTTGGTTGGGCAACATTAAACAATGTAGATTTGAATAAATGTGTTTCAGGCGGTTGCAGGTTCCAGGGCAACATTTCATTGTAGCAGGTTGTAAGAAGCTTCACTGGAGTTAGTGGAGGGATCTGGAGGGGTGTTAACATGTTGGGTCTTTCGCAGGTCTCCCATGGTTTCCCTAATTTTTTGAATGCCCACATGCTCTTCAGCAGAAATCCTGGTTTGCAGCCACCCTCCATGATTCGCAACAGTCCGACATGATTCGCAGATCCGAGCTTGAAAGATAAGCGGAAAAAGACGATCCGGTGGTTGGGGTTGGGGCAAGTGAAATGCGGGAGGCCTTTGGAGTAGCTGAGTAGCATGTTTTGGTTTTGTTGGATGTTGTTGGTGGTCTTCATCCATGCACAGCTTGGGTATTTCACCCATTGCCCTGTTGGTTGCCCAGGAGGTATCAATGCCAACACACACCGTGATGCACATGGAGAATTCCCCCCCTCAAATGAAAAGGGTTTTGAGGGTCTGGACCCCTCCTACTATGGAGGGGCTAATGGCGGGTCCAAGGATTCATAGGGTAAGGGATAATCTACCGCACCAACGAAGTGGGACCCCCCGGAATGCGAATCCACCCTGATCGCCGAACACCGTTTCGTGAGACAATAATCCTTGCTGCACGGGAATAAGAAGCATGGCAGAGAGACATATTTGCACAACAAATATATAATGTTATAATATAATATAATATATATGATATAATATGATACTATGTAATACAATGTAATACAATATCTTACATAATTACTGTAATCTTTCAGCTTCTTATGTGTCTGACAGGGATGGTCAAAGGGACACCCAGGGCGCCACCTGGAATGGTGAACGGCTCTTGCATGCGGTTGTGATATTTTGAGTTGCTCCAGATTTGGGTTCAGGGTCTTTGGGGTTACTCTTCCATAAACGGATGGCACGGTGGTGGCCCACTTCTGTCCACATCCTCTTTCTTCGCCAGGCCGAAAAGGAGAACCGAGCCGTCGCCGCTCTCCCGGACGACCGAGTCAGTCTGAACTGCCGTGGAGCCTTTTAAGGCCGCGGAGCCTGAAAAAACAGCGGCAGTGACGCTCGGTGGCTCTTTGGGTGTCACGGTGTGATGTGGGGTGCAAAATGGTACCGCAAGTGGTACCACACGTGTGCGGCCCAGAAATCTGCGGAGACCCAAGTTTGTAGGGGGATTGAACTGGGATTTTGCGTTGGAGGGTTTGAGATGGAACAAGTGTGATCGCGTGCAAGTTTGTGCAAGTTTGGCTTGTTTGTGCGAAGATCTCCAAAGCCATCCGCAGCCATACTAGTTCAAGATCCCGACGACTACCCCGGTATCGAACCTCTTACCATCCGGTATCGAACTTTCTTTGCCAGGAGCCAGGAGCGGTCAGCTTGGGGCTGGGATCGGAAGTGAACCCTTCGAACAGATACCGGGTTTCCCCGAACTTTGAGGCTTTGGTCCCTTGAGCCCATATGAGCCCATGTGCCAGTCAGATACCGGATCTTCACTGGGTCATGTTACGCTTTGGGAAGAGTAGAGAGCCGTGTGCCTGGCATGAAAATCAGCCAAGAAGGGTCCCATTTCGGGCTTAGATTTGGTACTGGTACTTTCTCTGAAGAACATCCCCGTTAAATGTCCTTTCTATAATGACGGGCCTTGAGGCCACTACTTCAGGCAGACAAAAGTTTATGCGTGTTAACCATGTTCAAAAAACAAGCTTTCCGGTGTGAAAAATGACCGCCCACACGGCCCCAGGCCCCAGGTATCTCAATGTAGGATTCTAGGGGGTAAGGGTTGACATGAGTTTGTGTCTCAAGAAGCGCAACTTTTGTTTGGCCAGTGTATAGAGCTACCATTTTAGTAGCAACATCATATTTTGAGCCTACAAAATGGTTGCACCTTTTACTTTCTACGTTTTTTTTAGAAGGTGTTTTTTAAGGCTCACAGGGCATCACGGGGCACCATGCATTTGGTAGGTAAACAAGTGAGATCAAGGCCCAGGATAATAGTATGTTTTTCTGAATTCGACATGTCATTATGTAAGAACACAAGTTGAATAGTTGATCGTGTAAATACTTTCTGGATATATGACTCAAGTGTGCACGAAGTATTTTGTATGAATCTTAAAGATTCTTAACACATTTTGCAAAGATGTTTAGGTATATACATGACTTAAGTGTGGAAGGGCATGTTGTAAAAAATGCAAGAAACGCATCCCCGTCACAATTTCCTCTACGATATCAATCGAAATGGTTTGGCGGTCAACATCGTCATGTTTTGATTCCATCCCCGTTAACATATAGGCATGGGGTTGAGACAGTCATTTTGTAGTAATGAGGCCTTAAAAATGAGGGCTCTACAAAATGAGGCCTTGAAAAACAGTCTCCAAAATGATAGGCAAACATAGCCACATAGCTATGAAAAAGCCTAGTATATAAATGAGGGCCTCAATTGTATTTTGATCGAGGGGGCTCATTTTGATGCCTAGGCTCATTTTGTAGACAAGATTTATATGATTTCATTTTGTAGACTATTCAGATGCCACGAATACAAGTGGACTAGGTGTTCAAAACTACCTAACTACATCATCCCCATTGCTACCGACTACTGAGGTTCACTCCTTTTTTTCAAATTTGGCAATCTAAAATGACTGGTAAGACTTAAAGACCTATACCTTTTTTGAAGTGCCAAAAGAAAACCACTTTCTGTCGTGACTGGCTAATTTCACTGGCTAATTTGACCGTGCAAAAGAGTAGCTTTACCACACCACCCGGTCCGCCAGCCCGAGCAGCAGGACTCGCATCTGGCCTACTCATGCCTCGTGGCTCGGGCTGAAGGATTTGGCAGCCCAGGGATACAGTAAATCCTATCAGCGCCAAAATGCTCATTTTTAGGCATCCTCTCCAGGATAGGCAGATTGTTGTGGTGTTGTCGTTTGTGGTGTTTGTCGTGTTTGGCAGATCTCACGAAACAACACTCGCGGCTTGAGCCGTGCGTTGGAGCGATGGATGCCTTGGAGCGATGGAGTGGTGGTTTTCACCATGTTTTTTCCCAGAAACAACATCCAGTCTCGACCCGACCCAGGTCTTCCACATAAAACAGGGTGGATCGACTGCACATGGTCATCCCAGATGTTGGGTCCAAGATGGTCCAAGTGTGAAGGACTTGACCCCTGACAGGACCGGACATCGTTGGGAGATCAAAGAGATGGGTTACAGAGAAAACGGGTTTATATATATATATGCATTTGCAAATATCCGAGATCTATGGGCTGGCGGATGTGTGTTCATCTATACAACATCCTGCAGGACATTTAATTATTCGTTTGCGCTTCCAAGTTTTCCTATGTGAGAGCGCTATATACTTGGGCATTGCTACTTGAAGAGGACTGATAGGAGCTCCGGTTTTAATTTGAGTTCTCTTTGTTTACGATATGTACGCAGTAGTACTGTGGGACATTTTGCATGACAAGACAATCGCTAAGTTTACAAATCTGGTTGTAGGATGCAAATTCTGTCATGCAGGCTTTGAGCTGAACATCGACAATCGCAAGGGTCAGCAGAACGTCTACCGAACATGTCTATATGGAATTCTATGGATGGGGTTGTAATGGTCAGATGTGTGGTGAAGTCATGTCGAAGTGTTCCGTGGGGACTTGAGATGTGGTGGAATGTAGTGGGCTGATTGGTGGTATGGCATGGCTATTTTTTTGGATTGATGCCAGGGGCACTATAAGTGCCACCCTTTCCTTTTTCCAACAAACATGGAAGTGGACAATGGCTCCAACAAGGGGCCCCGTCCACTTCCAGGCTTCAAACCAAAGGGAGATGAGCTATGCAGAGCTCCGAACATCCGCCAGTTTTGATCTCCACCAAGGCATGCAACTCAAACTTGACTCGATTCCGTCCGCCATGTGCGGAATTGGCAAGATGGACGCACGCAGCAAGTGTATCCTTCTTGCAGCCTCTTGGGAGAACTGCTGGGGATGGTCGTTTGATAGCCTTGCTGAGTGAAGCCTGCTGAGATTTGGTTTGCTGCTTAGGATCAAACATTCTTTGACACAGACCCACAAGTTAAAGGGAGTTTCCTGAAAGTGCTTGGTCATTGGCCATTTTGTTGATGTGTTGAATGGACGCCATGAGAACTCAACAGATGGCCTGGTAGTGGCCCAGCGAAAACGATTGAAGTTCGACACATCGGTCCAACTGGGGAACCCTGTCCTCTTCAGGGCCGCTGTTGGCAGGGGAACCCGCCGAGGCTCTGGCCATCTCGGGAGATGGCTGATGATCAACCCTCTGTGTGAAGCTGTTCGAGAGAGAGAGAGAGAGAGAATATACCTGGTGAAGCATGAGTCATCTCAGTCAAATTCGATGCAAACTCAACTGGAACTTTCACTGTTGGAGTCAGCAAAGCTTCACAAAACTTCCAGATTCAAAAAGGCGCCTCTCCTAGAATTTGGAGGTGGATTTTTGACGAGAACAGTTCAAGTGGTCTGTGGACATGGAGGTGTTGGGCAGAGTATTGCCACTAGAGCATAGGTTCGACAAAAACTTTGTATATGTCCAAGTGAACATTACAGTAATGGTAGTTGCAACTATCGAACCTTTGTTTGATCATTCATCCCATGCTATTGACATCATCCGATACCATGATTATATAGAGGTGTTTTGTCTCCGACCATTTCGTCGTTCGTCACGACAAGTGCACCAAGGCCATCCTTACCGCTGTCCTTCCCTTGGAGATCCATCATTTGATGGCCGCTGTCTTGGGAGCGGCCCGGGACCTCAGAACTCCATACCCGCTCAGCAGGTTCAAGCCTTCCTAATTCGTCAAGGGTGAATCTCGATGACCAGGTACACATGGGAGGTGATCAACCCGAGTTTAAGGGCCATTCCCATTCTCATCATTTTGGGAAATGTTTTGGACCTGCGACCACGGTGGAACTGTGCAACCAAGGTTGATCCACTTTTCTCCAGCCTAGGCCCCAACTCTTCATTACCCCTTGAAATCCAGCCCTGGGGAAGGGCCCATGCGCCCACAAGCTTTCGACATTTACTCCTTTTTTGCATCGTTCAATATGGTTGAGGAAACTCCTGCAGCGCTTGGAGCGGACCCAAGCCTATATATGCCTATTATATTTATGCAATACTGTGCTATTGGATTAAAACATTGTCTTTATACACATGGTTTCGTGCAGTTGTTCTTTTCCGTTGGATCCAGTCCATGAATAGCTGCAGATCACTGGGCTGCCAGGCAGGGTATATGTTCATGCAGTGGTTGGAGCCCACGGTGAAGCGCCAGCCAGAGGCCGTTCCGCGGGGCGTTCGCCGCCAAAGGATGTAGTTACTGTTGTGGATGGACATGAGAGTGCTGGTTCAGTAGGGATGAAGCTGACATGCTAGGTCTTAGAAGACCAGGCCCACTCCATGCCATTCAACAAGGAACTGGTCCACCTTTCTAGAACTTGCTTCGCATCAACTGTGGAACCCTGCCAGCCTGGGGTGAAACAGGGTTGCTCAGGGTTCATTTCGTTGGCCGACCATATTGTATCATATTGCTGCAGACATATGGTCCAGCTTTTGCTTCTGTGGCAACATGCACTGGGCCCCACTTCAAGCAGTCCTTTCTTAGCCAAATTGCCTCTCATTAGCCACCACTTTCTCATTCACTGACCACCTTGCATGAATATATATATATATAACATATAGTAATATATATAATAGAATACAGTATAATATATATATATATGTTAGTTTACTAGCCAACTCTATAGCCACTTCAATTGTTTTGTTTGCCTCCATGTCATGTCCATTCTTTGGAAAGGTTTCAATCCCCGCCAAAAGGTCATGATCGCCAGAGTCGCCATCTTGTCAACCCCCACTGGATGTGGCACCCAAACAGGTTGATTGCAAGGGAAGGACACTGGTGGATTTCCTCATTTCCCTTCCTAGGCCACAACTTTTGTGGTTCAGTACATTTCAGTACCCTCAAAACTTAAACCATCGGGAAAAGTATGGAAAAGTGAAGTAAGGACCATCCTTTCCATACTTCTGGCCTTGGTGCCAGGGCGCTCCTCCGCGCCGACCCTACACGGAGAAGCCAAGTTCCCGTCTGGCTTCTTCGGCCGCGCGCGGGAACTCCTGGGAGGAGCGCCGGAGCCGAGGCGCGACGAGCGGGTGCGAAAGCGGTGCGAAAAAACGCATCCAACACGAGGGACAGGTCGTCAGCATAATCCATTGCAGCAGCGCCCTCCAAGTCTCTTTGCTCAGTGAAATTCAAGCCGCAGATGGCCTGATGAAAGCTGCTGAGAGGTGCACATAGTGTAATACACGGTAGTAGTATATAGAGTGTATATATATATATACACATTTGGATAGATATCCCAAGTCTCTTGGTTGTGTTGCATCGAAACACACTGGTTTGTCATACATGGTGCAAAGAACAGAAGAAAACAACACAGATGTCATTAACATAGCGAGTGGCAGCAATTGGTTCACGGAGGCGCATCGCAGGTGGGTAGTGTTGACCCAATGCGCTTCAGAAACATCCAATATAGCCCAGCAGATGCACGCTTAGACAAAACACCACCGATAGGGAGGAGTGGTGTTCGCAGCGCGCAGGTCACTGACGGCAGAGAACAGGTCATGTGCTTCAAACCCTTTACCCCAGGGCCTGCTTCAAGTCCTCGGGCTCTTGATTTGTAAAGCCGCTTGCATGGATGCGCGGCCCAGCTTGCCACACATCGGCAGCATGCGTGGCAATCTTTCAAGCAAGCTCGACAAATGCCACTGTTGAAATACTTGGACTTGACATCGGCATACATGTACGCCAGCTTCCATTTCTTCCACCTACATGCTTGCAAGTATGGCCGGGGACAACCTAGCAATGTGAGCGCAACCCGGTACTTCTGCTTACATGTCCACCGCGCAACTCTTGGAACCCCGCGCCCAACGGTCGGCCTCTTGGTTTGCTCTTTGTGCGAGTGGCAGTTCACTGCAACCCCCAGCACTGCTCACAAGCTGATGGATTCGCGCCCCATATCGTTTTAGTATGTTTTACATGCACAGGTCGGGACGAGCAGTGAAACAGACGAAGTCGAGGGGGCCAGCTTGATCAGTCAGTGGGACAAGTTGTGCTTTCGTTCACTTGCCAAGATCGGCTCCGTTCATGAAGAACACTTAGCGAAAAACAGACTCGTGATCGACCACTCCGCCAAGACCTGGCAGCAAGACTCGTTCCTAATGGCGGATCATCGGAGATTTGTCAGTGAGATGCTTTGTGGGTATCAGATATCACATAGTGAAAGCTTTCGGCGGGGCCTCCTGCCGCCTGCCGCCAAGCCGGCTGGCTTTGCTATGTCTCACGTTATTTTTGCGTTTGGTGGACTGGCTACCAAGGGCTTTGACCGTGGACAGCTCCTCAACCCCGACAACCCATATGCACAAGGCACCAGGGGACATGCTTAAAGAATCTTAAAGATAAATTTATGCAAGAACTTCGCATGGCTGGCAGAGCTCCTGATTGAACTCAAGTCACGCAAATGCTCATAAAATCAGGACATGGGTGCTAGCAAGGTGCATGTCCATGCACGGCGGTTGCAGGCTGTGCTACCAAGGTAACAGCGACACAAAGAGCACAACAAGTACAAGTAAACTAAGTAAGCCTGCTGGGGCTTTGGACTTGCAATTGACCTAGGTGGCCAGAAGGTCTACAACATGCGACAAGTTGTCAAATCCATGCCGGTGACCTTTTTCGTTTCTACACCAAGAGCCCAGTTTATCATGGCGTGTGTTACAAGGCTCGGCTGGTGCGCAAGTTCTTTGGCCGACAGCGGGTCATCACACGCACAGCATGCAAGGGCGACACGACGCAGATTGCATGTGTCAACACTGTGCTCACTACTGACATGTCCAGGAATGAAGCCTGCAATGCACACCAAACGCGGTTTACAACGACATCTTCCGGCAAGGGTTCCCAATCCACAACCAAATTTGATATGTCAGGCAAGCAAGGTCTTGCACGTGCAGTCCTATGCCGGTGCTGTTGTGCCAAATCAACTTCATGAGGGGTCAGACTTTCGCACCCTACTGCAACAAGCCGCAACAATAAGCGGAGCTTGAACTTCTGCAACACGCAGAGAAACACATGCCACAACCAAGCTTTGAACTGCAAGAATCTACGGACGCATGCCCTACGCAATCTGCGACGAAGTGCTCGTTGAGCTGGTCTTCTCCCCCTTGTGTGTTTTCACGGGTTTTGGGCCAGCCTAGGTTCAGTCTCTTCCACTGTAAATAGATGTAAATAGTGTATACAATGTGATACAATGTGTTTTTTGTTTGCAACATTTTACAAAGCAAGGTTAGCCGAGATTAGGGCCAGGCTGTTGGCCGGGCCAAAAAGGTTCAGGAGGTTCAGGACAGATTAGGTGGGGATGATGTGTTATGCCGCGACCATGGCCCTCAAGCAAGGTCCGGTCAACAACACGGTGGACAATTTCAATCACAAAACAAAGAGAAACTGATGCAATCTTTTCTCCAGACTGCAGCCGCTGATCACTGGTTTCGAGCTCGTGCCAGCTTCAGCAACACTGCGTGGAGAACTGCAGTGTAGTCTTTGAACCTCTGATCACCTTGGTGAATTAAATGCCTTCGGCCTGGGAATCATGAAGCACAAAAGAACAACAACACAACCAATCAGGGCCATAAAGGAAGGCTTTGCACATTGGAGCAACAAATCGATGGCACAACATTTGGATAAGATACACAGCAGTATACGCAGCATACACACACATTGTGTCATGTTGGCGCGCCAAAACCGCACATGGTTCGGACCTCATCCGTCGCTGCAGCGGACTTCAGGTTTCACTGCAGCGGAGGACCAGAAGTGGAGTGCTCTCCGAGCGGTGCCCGCTGCTCCGTGTCTGGGTTTCAATCTTGTGAAGCGCGACAGGGCAGCTCGGGTGGCTGGAGGTACGATACTTATATATATATATATATACAGCCCTCATAAAGGCCCATAGTTCAGGCCTTGAGCAACCTGTGTAGTGTGTGAGGGAACAGAATTGAGCAATTCTTCTCATTTGTTCTAAACAACAAGTGAGAACAAATGATATCTCTATAAATATCCATAAATATCGTCTCTTTCATTTATTGATAGTTTTGGCAACAACTTGCATCTCGGATCATCCAAGACTGCAAGACCCTTGGCAGTTACCAAGTCCCTCCCATCGGAAAAATCAGTGAAGCCTCCACTGTAGCGGCTCTATATCATTATACTGAGTGAATAGCGGCTCTATATCATTATACTGTGTCGGCTCTATATTAATGACCAATTACCATGTTTAAATACTCTACAGTACATGGAACAATTGGTTGGCGACTATGCAGGTGTGGATCGATTTCGGCACTAGCAGAACCTCAGCGCGGCGTGATGACTGGCATTCGTCACCTCAATCCACCTGCACCGTTTTTCAGGGCGGTAAAGCCTGACGTCAAGCGTCCCAGCGTGATGCCTGTCAAGGCGAGGCCCCGTAGCGATGCCGTGCGACGTGTGGCGTGTGCGACGTGTGGAACTCCGGGAGGAGGGGAGAGTCTTGAAAACCAATTTTGTCATTTTTGTTTGGACTATATATATATACATAAAATATCATAAAGTAATCATTCAACAACTGCTTGTAAAAGTCCATGTCTTGAAGAAATCAGCAGAACATGTTTCCATTGTTGGGCAGAAGCATGTGGCTTAGCCAACTGTTTTTACTTTGCTATAGGAACTCTTACAGGCTGGAAAGCCAAGGGTCAGCGGATCTGAGAAGTGCAGCAACGGGATAGCGCCCGTTTGGGCTTCGCCGAAGTTGGGACGGAAGCACCAGGAAGTATCTCTGTTTGGGCACCGCACGCCACGCATTGTATCCATCTTGGGAAAACACTGGTCAAGAGGTGACATGTCCTTGGCAACGTGGAAGGGAACACCTTTATCCTGCGAAGAGTTAGGCAATGGAGACATGCTGAGCATTCTGATCCCGGTGTTTTGCACTGTTTGAAATTTGAAATGCGGAAAGCACCAAATTCATCCAAATTCCGAGAAGGGGTAGGACTTGACCAGCCAATCAGCAGCATGGGTATGCTGGACATGTTGGTTGGAGACTCCAGAAAGAAGAGCCACAATGAGCCAAGACTCCACACATTCCAAGTTGGTTGAGTTGACCCCGATGGTGTTTGGTGTTCTTTCTGTCGCCACCCGAACCGCCCTTCGTGCCAGGGCCGTTCGGTCCCCGACACCTGGCCGAGCCCGCAGGCGCCGAAGTTTGCCGCCAGCAACTGGCAGGAGGAGGCAGAGACCTCGGAGACCTGTTCAACCGGATTGTTGAGAACAACGTCAGGCTTTTTACGAAGATCATGGAAGGGGGGCGATGAATCTGGGCAGGAAGAGACCCCTGAGAGATGAATCGTGTACATATACCCCGGTTTGGGACTGGAGGACACTCGAGTTCGAGGTGATGCAACAACGTTTGGTGGGACAACGTCTTATGTGCATGAATGATATGTTTGATTGATGTTCAAAACCTTTTCCCAGGACATCCTGGGAAGATCAATCCCAAGTAAAATTTGCTCGGTGCTTTACCCAGGTTTGTGGCCCAGTCTCCTGAATACCTTCGCCTCTGCCAGGTGAACGAACTCCTGGAGACCTTGAAGCCGCCTCTCGTTTTGAAGGTGAATCATAATTATAAGATATTATAAGGTGAATGTAATTCTAGGGAGTCCAGAAATGTGGCCCAAAGAAGAACGATTGTATAATATGTGTGTATCAAAGACATTCAAGATATATCACAAGATGCATTGTCATGTTATGCGGCCCGGAACTCAGAGATCATGTCTTTGGGTTGATGTGCGTGTCATCGTGGAATTGGTTCCTAGAGAGATCGTCGCCCTCGCCCACGGAATCTGTAACAGGCAGGATGTGGCCGGACTGCCAGTGCTTTAGGTTCGATCCTCTCCACTTAGAAACCGACCTGGTCCGCTCACTGTGAGGTCTCAACATAAGCCGAACCAAGCACACGAAACTCGTGTTCACTGCCATTGGTGCGTCCTAACGCCATGGACGATAGATCAGAGAGGCCCCCCATCCATGGACGACGAGAAACATTGAAGCACCATCTTCTGGGGACAACTTCACTCTGACGTCGGACTCCTGACAGTCAGAGCTGAGGAATGCAGCCAGCCGTGAACAGGTGGAGCAGATTGCCAGGCAGCGGGGACTCATGAAACATCATGAAACATCATGAAACCAAACTATTTAGGTGTGAAAGACAGGTTCGGGGTGCCGTGTCACTCATCCATCTATAGTTTGTAAGAGGACGAGTGCCGTGTGTACTCCTTGAAGCCTGGACAGCCACTGCGCTCTTGTTACTTTCACACCAGCATGGTGAAGGAAAGTTGTTTCATTGTTTCAGAAACCTTCAGAACTCCGGGTTTGGAGTCTTTTCTTTTGAGTACTGTGGCAAAGACCATCCCGGATTGGAGGTCTCACCTCCACCATGCTCACCCAAACGTAGGGACGAGCACCGAAGATGTCGCCCAGGGCGTTCGACCGTGGTTTACTCGGGGGTTGTTTTGACAAACTGTTTTTTGTCTCAACCAGCGGCCAGAACATTGAAACTAATTCAAGCTAGAAAGGAAGATGCATTGCTCCAATGTAAGCAGGTCAACTCATTAACTCAAGGTCAGACGTTCCTTACTCGTACATTTGGCACGAACAACGTTTGCAAGCGCCAACAAAGCCTATACCCACGGCGACGGAACATGTCCAAGGAATGTTCATTCAAGGATACCCCCAACAATGAATTCTAGGCTCATTCAACCTAAATTATGCCCTTATGCCAACGGTGAATGATCCCCATATAGCCCCTTATGATCCCTTATGTCGTTGGTCTGGTTTGAATGATCCGATCCCTGCCATGCCAACCGGACCAACGGTGTCACCGCCATCGGCCAGAGCCGTGAAGCGCTCCTTGGGCCCCGTGCTGCCGGGTGCAGCGGTGGACGCCTTCAGCTTGGCGCGGCCCATGGCGGGCACCGCCTTTGGAGTCGCTGTGCCCGAGGTGCCCATGGGGGGCAGAGACGGTTGTCGATGCTGGGCGACAGCGGCGGTTTTGGGGAATCGATTTATATATGTTCTAAATTTTTAGGGGGGAGGGTGGGCTGATCGAAAATGAGTGAAACGACTTGGTTTGGGAAGAACAAACAACGAGAACACGCAACGCTGTGTTGGTCTTTCATGTGAGAACTGCGAGGGTCGCAGCGGCCTGACCGGGCAGGTGGAAGTGGTTGTCACGCTGGAGGGCAAGGCCGGATGCGGTCTCAAAGCTATAGGATGCTATAGGCCTATAGGATTTTAAATAGGGGCTTGGTGAGTGGGCTTGGTGGACTCGGTGGACATACTCTCACTATCTCTCACGACAATTGCGGGAACTTGGCGCAATCGGTAGAGGACCTGGCCATCTTTTCATGTCTCTTTTCATTGGAAGGACAGTTGACATCAACCTCCTCCTCGTCCGGCGCTTTCGGTTTGCCACCCTTTGAGTCACCACGAGACACCGCTCGCTCAACTCTGTGAGACGAGGAAAGCTACAACCACTTATATAATTCAGGGGAAGTTGTCACTAGTCAAACTATGTCAAACTGATTAGTTGATAGATGCTGATGAGTTAATCTCGACGTTGTTGATAGGCATCGTTGACGTCTATATTATGTCGTTTTTCATAGGGACACTTGTGATTAGAAGCGTTACGACCTTGAAGCACCTCTCAACTTCTACATGAGCTTCAATACTGGCGTGAACATCCCCACGATGGCTAATGAGGACCAACATACTGGCAGTTACTGACATTTGCAGTGATCCGGATAATTATATCTAGGCAATATAAAACGACGTCACCGACGTCACCTGAAATTAACGAGCAAGCTGAAATTAAGGTATATGGTCACACTAACATCACACACACACACACACGCAAAACACACACACACACACACTTCATCGACTTCACAGTCCTGGCAGAGATTTTGGAGGCGCGGGCGGGCGTGGGCACTGGATCTAGGACTGGATTTGCATGGGGAAGAGGATGTCAGTCAGTTGGAGTTTTGCTTGAGTTTTCGGGCTCGAGTTTGCAAAAAAATAAGAAGTCATGCCTCACCTGCTCACTCTCCACACCACTAAAAAACACTGCCCAATTTCGAGGTCGGGAAGTTTTGAAGTTCTTTTAGTTGTGCCCCCCATGAAGTGGCCCTCCAGCCATGATGAGTGCCCAACAACACCTACGGACCGCGTTCGGCCAAGCGTGTTCCCTAGTCCCTAGCCCCAAAGCCTCTCAGAGACGGACCATTCAGCCAGATCTTGTGGACGGAAAAGATCCTTGGAACTTGAAGTAGTGATGGTTTGGTTGTTTTCCCTTTCACACCCAACCTGACTGGTTCTTTCCTGGCCAAATCGCTTTTGGGCCTAGTTCGCCGAACTAGGATTTGAGGCCTGGCGGCCTTGAAAGTGGATTGTTGGGGCTTTATTAGGTTGTAGCTCGGCAAACTACGCTGGGAAAAATTGGTTTGGGCTAGCTTTCCTTTGCGTGTTGTCAAATTTGTCTTGAAGCAAGATTTTGGGCCAACGAAAGGAAACAGGAGGGGGGCAAGGGGAATCGAACCCATAACCTTTGCCGAGCTCATAGGTGGAGCATGTGGTCCTAACGCGAGTTTGCTTCACTACAGGGACTTGTTTTAAGATAGTTGTCGGGTTTCCCCATCTGGGCCTGGAAACGAAGCTCTCCTTTTCAGAAGGGTCCCCAAAAACGATTTCGGGCCTAGTTCGCCGAACTAGGATTTGAGGCCTGGCGGCCTTGAAAGTGGATTGTTGGGGCTTTATCAGGTTGTAGCTCGGCAACCTACGCTGGGAAAAATTGGTTTTGGCTAGCTTTCCTTTGCGTGTTGTCAAATTTGCATGTACTAGCCAAGCTGAGGAAAACACCCAGTCAGAGGAAATGGTGGTCTTGCACTTTGTGTCGCGGACCTCAAGCAATAGTTTTCCCTCCCTGGCAAAAATCCATTGTGCTTGCTGAGCTGGCTCTTGATCTTTGTACGAACGACCAAACTTATTGCTGGTGAACAAACTACACGAACAAAAATTGTGTGAACCACAAAAGACCCACTGCAATCGCTCCAGTTCCACTAGCCAGAGCCTTCTCGCGCGCAGGTGGACACGTGGCTTCAGCTTTGGTCGCCCCTGGCTGGCCAGCGTGTTGGCTGGCTGGGGGCGTTAGGGCACAACGACGTCACCATAATTTCGTAATTTCGACGACGTCACTAAGTTCAGTTTTTGAATTTAACGAAATTAACCGACGACCCAGGAATTATTTTATATTGCCCAGATTATATAATTTCTCTCGCCCAAGTGCTCAGTTCCTGATTTCCTGGAATTTTTGGGAGGAATGGAACTGGAGCTGATCATGTTCGCGAAGAGGAATGGCTGTACATGGACCGAGAAGCCCAATATCTATTGTTCAATCTTTTGCACCAAGAGAGTAACTAGCTTTGTAATGGCTCACATCCTCAGGTCTTCACTGCCGCGATGTTCCACCAATTCTCATCAATCCTCTCAGTCCAGGGCGCTGAGGGCGCTGATGGAAAGCTGCAGAAATCCCTGATCCGCACTTGCTGGGACCCCCACATCGGGCCGGAGATCTCTGATGTTCTTCGTTGACAATGATCAGGTCATCGACCGTCAGCATGTATTGGGTTTCTGTAGGTCCATGCCATTACCGGTAACAGTCAGTAAAATAGTCATATTGTTCGGACAGGCATTCGCTAACCATTATTATCATCCACTGTTATTGGCCATGAATGGTAATGAGATGTACCCAAGGTTTATCCCTTCTTCACTGCAGTTGTAAAGTAGAAGATTAGCACCACTTCATCAAACTTCTATAATAATGAGCGTAGGATATGCCCGGACATAGAGGAACTCTCCCTTCACCGAAAGAAAGCGACGCTCCGATGAACATGGTCGACATGGTGTCGTGGATGGAACAGTGGTGACACAGTTCCACTGGTCACAGCTGTGACATGGACACATTGATGGTCCACCTGGTCGCTTGTGCATGGAAGTGGATGTCTATATACTTATAGTCGTTGTTTATATATAAAATTACAATTACAACAATGACGAATAACACGCTTTTGTGTGTCAAAGCCTTTCAGTGCTTTTCGACCTTCATGTGTCTTCGGAGTGTCGTGTCCCGCTGGTGTTCCTGGACCCGCGGAGAAAAGAAGCCATGCCCAGCACGTTCGCCGAGGCACTGATCGCTTGGTCTCCCAGGACTCCTTCAAGTTTCGGCCACTTGGGCTGAGAGCCTTCAGTTGTGGAAGTCGCAAAAAAAGGTGACAAGATGCGCTCGCAGTCAAGGGGCTGGTGGGAATTCTGTTGGTGTTCACCCCTAAGGTCGTTCACTTACTATCCTAACAAAGGACAAAGGAGAACCACATTTATGTTATATATATATAAATATATTATATACACACATTAATGTACAGTAGTTCCTTATGTTCTCCTTTATATGAAAATGGATGGAATGGGTCCGAATTCCAATGAGCTCCCCATGAAAGCTACCCCATCCCGACCCCACCCAACAGTCTCAAGCGAGTTGATACACTCCTTCAGGGTAAATACCTTGAACAACGCCATGCACCCATGCGCTGCTACTTAGTTGTCCCATTTGTTTGTCAAATAAATCACATGGAACTCACAAAACATCACAACACCAATGCAGAAAACAGAGGAAACAACTTTGAGAAGTCTGGCGATTCCTGCTTTGCCGGTCTGCCGGTGTCCCGTCTCTCGAACCCGAGGCGCTCGGCCTTCCGCGGGGCCGAGCCGAAGGTCACGCTCATCACCCCACCGGAGCAGGTGGACCAAACGGGGAAAGAGAACATCAAAGGATGGAGGGGAACACCCAAGCAGACGCATCTCCGCCAAGCGGAGTGTTTCTGGATGATTTGAGGGTTGGGACAAGTTTCGGGAGCTTTAGAGCCATGTTGTGCTCCAGTTGGGTGGATTAAATGAACTGGGATCTCTTAACTAGTGACAACTCCATGTTTTCCTGAGTCCTCAGAAACTCAGTTCAGTAACCTCCTAGCTTCACTGAAACTTCGCCCAGCCGCTGTGTTTGCCTTGAGGGCAACATGCCCTTCAACTTGGCCGTGAATGCCTTGATGCCTGCGCGCTGCAGCGAGCTCTTCAAGGTGGGCGAAGCGCTTCAACGACCCGGCGAAGAGAAACTCCTGGGCAACGTGAAGTCTTCAAGCTTTGCGGAGATCAAGCAACACATATATAGCAACATCATTCTTTTGAGAAAGGAAGTCAAGGCATGTCAAGACTTTGCGGCCAAGGCTTTGTCAAACATAGTCATAGTATGTCATAGTCATAGTCTGAACATGACTATATAAACCGTACTGGCTGGGAGATCTGGAGATCTAGCCGCTCTTTTTGAGGCACAGACTTAAACAGGAGTTTGGATCTACCAAGACCGGTGCTCTTGGTTTGAGCGGACATCGCAGCTGAAATCGCCGCGATCTCCCTGAAACCTCCCTGAAACCTCCCGCGCTCTGTGAGGCCTGCGAGATGGACCCCGTGGCGATTGAGCTGATCTTGCTGGTGCGCCGCTGGGCCAAGGACCTTCCCCGTCGGAAAGATTGGTGGGAGCGAAGGACCAAGCGCGCTGTGGCCGGTCGTGTGAGATGGAATATCTGCCTTTGAACTGACTGTACAAGTCAAAATGCAAAAAACAAAACAGGGCTGCTTGTTGTCAATTAAATTTAGGTGTCTTTGAAGGGAAGGAAATGGTTCATGATCAGGCCGGAAGTAATGACCCAGAGCATGCCCACATCAGGACCGTGGCATCAGCCATGCTGCAAAAGGCCATTTGTCACCTTACAGCTGGATGTTGCTGGCCATCTACTACTTGCAGGTGGACACTTGGAATGTTGGAAGAGGTTGTTGCTTTTTTAAATACTGGTGGAATCACTCTCCTCCTTTTTTATGAACATGGTGATTGGTCAGTTAGCAGATGTTAACTGTGGAATCACTGCTAGATAAGTCAAGCAGCCCCGGTTCCTTTTCCACATAGAAGAATCTTGCTGGCACTTACCACACCCCAAGCAAAATGCAAAAAGAATACCGTCACATAGTTGTTTCGCCCTGGTCCTTCTCACAGCCAACTGGTCAATCTCGCCCGCCTTAGGGCACTCACCAGCTGCCGGCAATGAGTTTCTTGGCCCGATCGCTGAAACGAGACGGATCGATCATTCACGTTGGGTATGAGAGTCTGTCAGTATGGTCCAGGCATGTTAAAAGCGTTGCTTTTGACAAGGAAACAAAAGGATATCAGAAGGGATTCCTTTGGTTGCCACTTTCTCTTGAATTCCTGAGGTGTTGAACCAAAGGAAGTCCACAAGAGGTCAGTAGGAACAATATTGGTTCAGTGTGGTGTCTTTGGAAAAGGGAAGCCCATCAAACTTCTTCGAATAGATTCCAGAGGTGCCCGTGGACGGGCTACCTTGGACATCCTTGGACCATGGGTTCTGGGTTGGGGCAATTTTGTAGAGCTTCGCACACCAGCGATACCATAAGGGTTGTTGTTTTTGTTGCGCGCGTGCCCAGAACACAGATTTTGACGGTCCGGCAACAGTAAAGCATCTACACAGTTGGCATTTTTGTGCCTGTCAGGAACACGCCGGCCCCGTTTCTGTTCAAAACAACAAGCAGAGAAGAACACCCTTGCAGGCATAGCTTTGCATGATGTTTAAAACAAATACATTTGAGCAGCAACATCGTGTAGCACACGACATGGGCTGTTCCCTCGGCTCTTTGTCGCGCTTTTTCCCAGGAAGACCCCACGGCGTCCGTCACTGCCGCCTGTTGAAACCGAGATGTAGTACGCGGACCAATCCGACCCCTTTCTTGGCCATCCCATGTTGAAGATCCTGCATGAGATATTGAGCAACCCTGGCGACATAGTACTATACAATACTATACAGTATACATGCATATTATTTCTTCGATCGACCCGGATAAAACAAAAGGTACACACCACTGGTGTATGATATTTGATAGATGCTGGCTGCTCGAACAACCTCATGCCGGTTTCGGCACGAACAATCAATATCATTGTCATCATGTTTCAATATGTTTCATATCATTAATCATGTGTTTCAGGAGTAGTGGGCCACAACTACTATGTCATTGGCCCACACAACTCCTAAGTCACCAGTCCTCAGTATAACATAGTATAACTCCTTTTTTTGCGCCGAACATTCATGAACATTTCAAGGGTCACCAGTTGTTGAAACCCGAGTTCCCCGCTGTGTTGCTTCGCGCCCAACCGAAACGGCGCTCTGCTGCGCCATGCTGCGCCAAGGCTTTGTGGTCTCCAAGCGAGACCGCCCGGAGCCCAGCCCAGAGAAGAACAACGTTTCGGCCGGCGAGCTGCTGCAAGGCAGGTTCTTGAAGGGAATCCACCGCAGGCAGCAGGCAGACAGACGAAAAAGACTTCCAAGTTTTGGGCCAAACTACAGCTGTGGGAAGGAACATGAAGGAACCATCTTGATATTAAACATTCATCATTCTGCATCGTTTGACAGCCGCTTTTTTGAGCACCAGTTGCAAGCGACCATTTCCCAGAAATTGAAATCCCTTGAAAACAACATGTTGCCCATCACTCGAATGGGATTGGCCTCAACATCGCCAAGTGCCTGCAGTCATAGACTGCTGAGTTTAGAAATGCCCAACTCAGAGCCCAACTCTTTACTGTTTTCGACAAACTGGCGGTTCGATTCTGATTCTAGCCAGACATGGTCATTTGTGAGACCGCAGGAAGATCCGCAAATCCCGCGCAGGTTTCATGAAGTTCTACGCCTCCTTCGACTGGGCGAAGGAAAATATCTCAGTTCGTCAAGGCCAACGCAGCTTGGAATCACGCGGGGGGATGATCGCCAAAGCGTCTTTGGTTCCTAGCTCAGTACACACCCTGAAAATCATCACTATCAGTGCCTATCAGCTTTAGACCACGCAGTTATGGTGTCTGGTCATTTCAATATTTCCAGTGCGGAACATCATCCAGTTTCGAATGGATTTGCTTGATTCGAATTCATCCACCAAATGCAAGTAGTCATGGCAGGTAGTTCATCCGCCAGACTGATGCATTTCATGTTTGGGACATGTTGGCCAGACACAATCCCACACCATTTGGTAATAACTGGAGAGATCCTACAAAGATTCCCTTGTTTGTCCAGGCTGGACTGTCATTCCTTGAACCGACCACGACCCTTTTCATCGAACGAAAGGTTTCTCACTTTCACCAAATCCTTTCTTATTGGCTCGGGAACCTTGTGGTGATCTGAAATCAGGGTGACCCACAATTTCATTTGCACCAAACTATCCTGATGGCCTGTTACGGATGAATCACCTACATTGGGGTGGTCAAGGTACATACTTATAGGGATGAACGAACAGACGCTCGATTCTCGATGTATATTATGATGCATTGGGCTAGTTGAGGATGGACGTGGTTACAGGAGCACAAAGCCTTTTGGTGGCTCAGCAAAATCCCATAATGTCATATCATGTCATATCCTTTAGCGGAACAGTTGATTTTGACCATGGCTCACATTTTCTTTTGAATATGTTGCTGCCAAATTCTTGCCACACCAAAGCCAAATCATGGCCACTCCCATGGATTTTGCAAAAAAAATGAAGATTTCCCATTTCCAAGACGTTGGTCCGTTGATCTGAGGAGCAGCTCCCACACGACCGCTGATGCTCCTGCACGAAGACGGCAAGACGCAGCCAGGAGCGGTCGAGTGGTTTCAACGGCCACAAGCAATGCTTCCGGTGAAGTGGTTCAGAGGAATACACCACTCAGGTAGGCGGTCAGGTAGCTGCCAAAGTCTCGTTGAGTTTGGGAAGTTCTATTTTTTCTTGTGTGGGACGCGGACGGATCAAGAGTGCACTATATATAGATTATCGACAAAGGTCTGAGGCTGAAGGCAAGATAGTCTCGAGGATGTGACGGTTTTGGCTGACTATAGTAATTACATACGTATTATTTAACTTGAATTGATTGATTTATTATTATGTACTTAGATGTATTAGATGTACTTAGTTATATTTACTGCATATTGAGTGTATCTATGTATGTATATAATATATGAAAAATGTATGTTGTACGCCTTTAGAAGGAACAAGTGTTCACCCGTTCAGCCAACATTTGCCAGGACCCTGCATCGAAGACCCTTTTGAGACGTCAAACAACCTTGGGTCCTGCATGCCCCTTGGCAATGACCCCAGCAGGGAGGGGAGTGTCGAGCACAGGCTTTGATGGCCTTTTTCATGTAAAGCAGCACCATGTCAACTATTGTTCGTTTTTCCCAAACGATGCGGGAGAACGCAGCTTAATCGGTTCGCTATGCCATACCGTACCAGTGGTTGCGGGGATTTGCGGGGTGGATAACTTGTTTCTCCATGCTTCACGGGCCGCTTTGAGGCATTGGCTCAGTATGAGCCGGTTGCAGGAAGAGTTTGCACGTGGAGTACAGCTGTCTGGCGCGTCCTTGGCGGTGCCGCGGCGGGGTGGGCCCGCGGACTTTGGGCGAAAAAGGACGTGTGGAGAATTCAGACGTAGCAAAAAGAAATGTTTGGGGAAATTTAGTGAATATGTGAACATGGACGAACTAAGCCACTTGAATTTGGGCTGTGTGGGGTTGCCTCCCGGAAACGAACTGACATGTTTTTCCCCGGAATTGCCAGTAGACTAAGCTTGAGGCTCAGATCTGCAACCAAAAGCACAACGTGCAAGAAAAAGTGGAAAACAACACATTGTTGGTACTGTAGAAAGTAGTCTTTGGAAGGCTTGTCCATTTTCTATTTCGACATGTTTCTGTTGCTACTAATTATTTGCCACCGTACTACTACTACTACTACTACTACTACTACTACTACTACTACTACTACTCCGTTCCAAGGAGCTCCTGGAGCCTTGGACTCCTCCGGACCATGCGGATGCAGACTGAGTAGATCCCGTCCTCCCCGGGTGGAGCGAAGTCCAGTCACGTGCAGGGCGAAGTCCAGTCCAGACACATCATGGGTTGAGGCAAAACTCCAAGAAGTCACAGAAGTGAATGGATGGGTTGAGCAAAGAGGAACTTTGTGAGACGGTGACGCTCTTGGGTGACTGGACTCAAGGATTTGAGCATGCCGTTCCGCGCCAGAAGCGTGCTAGTGAAAAGAGAAACGATTTGGCAACTCAAGTGTCTGAGTTGAGTGAAGTGGGTCAAATGTCCATGGGGTGCCCGTGGGAGGGTGCGCGATCTTGGATGGTTTTATTTGGGCCTTGAGCCGTGGAAAGACGTGGAAAGTCGTGTCACACCTATACCTATATACCAAATACATCCAAATACCATCGCAGGGAAGCTGGGCCACGATCTTCAAGTTGATTGTGGAGGAAAGTGAGGGGACCTTTGCTTTTGTAACATGCCAGGTCAAACACGCGAGGTCAAACAAGTTCGATGCTGTGAGAGCAATGCAGTGATGAGAAAGCAGTCAATTGCAGGGTGTTTAGGATGGAGGATGGAAGCAAGTATAGCGTTTGATCTCCCGAGCGTATGTTGTGCATGGTTTGCCAAGGGTGCCTTCCTATTCTCCAGGGGCACTCATTTTATGAAGACACCTTGGAAGAGATGGTTTAAGGACCTGTTTGCTACATATAATATTATACAATTATATATACTTTTTTTTATATTATTATTTTTTCGAGCAAACTTCATGCTGCAAATTACCAGAGATCAGAAATTTAACCTCCAGAGCTTGAAAGCTGTTGCCCTAGGTTTCCTGCTGGACGGGCATGTGCTGTACCTTCAGTTACTGTTTGAAGATCGAATTCCTATGGGTCGAAGCTGCTCCATCAACCCAACATGTCGGCTCAAACTGGGAAGCGGACATTTTTGGGATGAACCCTCTCTGTTTCATGGAATCCATAAGACATCAACACATCAAATCAATCCAACACATCAAACATCGGGAAAGACAGAACTCGGGCAGTGGTTCGAGGAAACAACCAGCGGCTGGTACTCAGTGGGGTCGCTGCACGTTGAGGCGGGGCATGCAGGGCTCTTAGGGGCGGAAAGTCTTGATGGTAATGGTTCCGGAATCTATGATCCCGGTGGAAAAACACGACTAATGTTTATTGATGATCCCTCCAATGACTTGAGGTTTGACGGATTGTTGTAGCGGTGTTACTGTCGGGCACTGCTGGTTGGTTCGGCCAGGCGGCCAGACTGAACAAACTCTGCGTTGTTGCCTTTTCCCATCAGCTTGGGGGCGGTTCGTGTTCAAAACTGCGGAGTGTGGTAGATGTTCGAGGGCAGGCACATGCAAAGGAAGGAAATCGAGAGATCATTCTTGTATTTTGTAGATCAACCGCTTAGTAGAGACATGGATTTGTTCGAAGCTATCAGCTATCAGTTCCCCAAACGAGCAAACCTCCAGATTCGTTCCCACATATAAACAGGTACCAAGTACCAACAGTGCACTCTAATATGCTGCTTAGTAAGATGCAGTAATGCATAGTAATGCTCTACAAGTTCCCACCAAAGCCGTAGTGTGGCTTGGGAGTGTTCTTTTTTTCATGGAGTGTTTCTTCGCAAGTAACTATAATTAACCATATGGGTTTGTATTTTTTTTGGCGTGTACTTCCTGATGTAGTGGTTGGAAGTTCGACTTGAGCGATTCATACCCTCGAATCATACCTCGAATCATACCCCCGAATCATACCCCTCAAAACGTTACACGTAAGAACCAGGTGACGAGCCAATGGTGCATGACGTTTGCAATTGTGTGTTCCATGGGCACTCAATTTGGCCAAAATTGTTTGTGTCTTCTTGTGGGACGAGCAAAGGCTCACATCCCAGGGGTACTCATAATGTTCCCATGTGCTCTCCCTTGGGAAGAAGAGCCAAAGGACCGCCTTCTTTTGCAGAATCTAATGGCCATACGAATCATACCCGATTCATGCCCGATTCATACCCGAATCACGCACCTCCACACAGTCTCCCACCCATCCCACATCCTGGTTGTTTTGGTGGGGCCTGCAAAGGGCCACTGGAGTCTTTGGTGGAAGAGTGCATTTGCCTAGTCTGCCCAGCATCCAACAGATGCTGCTTGCCTACTGCCTCGGCGCAGAGTGGGCCCACTGCTGGAAGTCCAGCTAATCCAACAATACAATTTCAAAGCTGCGAATCATCTGCGAATCATACCCTCGAATCATACCCCCGAATCATACCCCGAATCATACCCTCGAATCATACCACCTATTCAAACTTCCCGGCCCGACTACGGTAAAAAAATACACACCCATATATTTATTTTAAAAATATTGTTTATATAGTTACTATATAACTATATATAATAGTAGTATGATTATCGTCATGCGAGACCATTTGATAATGAGGCTCCTTGCCCTTTGTTTTGTCGTACTTGTCGTACATATATAAACACACAAACACAAACCTGCCTGTTTGACCACACGGTGGCTGCCTGGACCTCAGGGGGCCGCGCAAATTCGTGGAGCAGCTTCGATTATCAAGGTCGTGGCTTGACTGAATGGTTGTACGAGAACGGTCTCCATCATGTTGAGGTCGTTGATGGACAATGGTTTGGCTTACTCTGAGGGGACTGAGAGGCCTGACACATTTTCAATGATTTGTTACTGTGTTACTGTCACAGTAAATTTGTTAAATGATGTTCATCCCTCAACATCCGAGACGCAGCTGATTGATTGAGATTTTGGATACTTTGTTAGCCTTGTTAAGACATACTGTACTTGTTTGGAGGTTAAACTACATGATTGAACGGCTCAAATGAGCAACCTCTACTGAGTCCATTGCTTTCCGGTTGGAATTTTGCAGCTTGTTTTTCAGTAGATCCGACGAGTCATGGTGACAACTGCAAACAGACACATATCAAACAGATCCGAAAACAACCAGGAAAACTCCCCTTGTTGACCAGATATCCAGTGGTTTTTTTCCTCAGTGCTTCACCGTGGCCGCGCCGCATACCGGGCTCAAGGAGAACGATCCAAAGCAGATCGACTCGGACAAACCACCCATCAAATGGTGTACAACTTGGAGAACGGGAGAGGCTGCCAACGGTCTCTAAACTGTCTTATTGATCCACCTGTTGTTCCAGTGTCACACGGGACTTCAGTGTGTTTCTTGAGTGGGGATGATTTCATGTGTTCTCCACATTGACACGGTCTGGGGTGAATGTTGTAGGTGAATCAGCATCTAAGAGATGCCGCACGCGGCGTTGCAGCGGAATCTAGAGCGTCTTGGTGCAAGCGGTTAGAGTGACTCGCGCATGGATTTTTAGTGGATTCGACCAATGCAACTCGCCCCTTGCACCATGCACCTAACCACCTAGAAACCACTCATACCAATTTGTTGCGGTTAGATTGGTTACTAAAGATCAACAACTGGAAAGGGCCAGTCAACCTTGTTTCGTCACTTTGTTTCCAAATCTGCCAAAAAGCAAAAATAAAACAACCTTCCACACCTCACCAGGCTTTTTTGTACTGGTCGCCAATCCTTGCTTTAGCAAGGTTCTGAAGGGTGAATCCCATTTCACCTGCCTAGTTACCAGTTGAGCAGCCATGCAGGTCCATAGTAGTTAGGAGTTCCTGTACATGGGGAGCGGCAGAGCACTATAGAGACAAGTTCCAGATTTTCTCCACCCGCTCACCCACCCATATTGTCCAGACTGGCTCAAAAAACATCACTTTCAGCAGGAGTAAAGTAATGTTCAGCAACTACTGTGCGTTCAGCAACTAGGTTTCAGCAACTATTTTGTTGGTTTCAGCAACTGCGGTTCAGCAACTCCCTGCGTTCAGCAACTGCGGTTCAGCAGCTGGTTTTGTTGGTTTCAGAAACTGGTTTTGTCGGCTTCAGCAACTGGTTTTGTCGGTTTCGGCAACTGTCCATGTCGGTTTTGCAATGGATATTGGGGGTGGGGGGGAGGGTGAGGCCGGGGATAATGACGTACGTTGCGCATGCTACGCAGACATAATAGCTTTTGGTTTCCCAGTTTCCGAAACCTACGTTCCCAGTTGCCGAAACCCACCTTCCCAGTTGCCGAACCACAGGTTCCGAATATAATTGGCGAGTTGCCGAAACCCACCTTTCCAGTTTCCGAAACCCACGCTTTAGTTTCCGAAACCAACCTTATAAACACCACGCAGACCCTTTCAGCAGAGTATCTCTCCACGTAGTTGCTCTTGAGCCATCCACAGTTTTTGTCAGTTGTACAATTCTTTCCAAGACCAACATGAGATCTTCCAGAAGCTTTGGACATGTGAGAATGTTGAGAGGTGATATCACCTGCCCACCCAAGTGGTGATGGAATGTTTGAATCCTGGCTTGTTGTGCCTCCATTTCAGGGAAAACCCGATTCTGGCAGCGATTTCTACTCACCACCACGGACCGAGAGAGAGAGAGAGAGAGAGGGGCAATATTTTGGATTTTGTTGCATCTTTTGGTGTGTTTTCAAGTAGGGACCCCCCCTGTCCAAACAACTAGATCCATGGTTTTTCCAATTATGTCGCCTAGGTTTGTCTTTAATCAACCCCATCAAGAGCTTTTCTCACTCCCAGGGAGCTCCAAGCGCTACAGCGCGAGCTCACATGGAGCGATCGGCCTTCACTACCAGCTCGGGGCCACCAAACCCGCCGAAATGGGCGCGTGCTGCGCGAGTGCACCGCTGCGCAGACGAGCATGGCGGCTACCATTTGTTTGTTTGCAGAGTTCAAGAACTCTCCTCGGGTCTCAGGTTATTTTCTCAGCTGCGAAGTTGTATAGACATGTTATATCATGTTATAATATCATAATAGTACATGTAATGTATAGTCCTGGACAACACACTGGTTTTGAAGAACTGGTTTGTCATGCAAGGGGTAAACAAGCTGCATGCTGCTAAGGGCCCTGAATCAAAGGGTCCGTTTCCTGTCCCCAGCGCCCACTAAAGATACTTGACCCCGCTTGACCTCCTTTTAGTCAAATGAGAAAAGAGATAAGACAAACGC